GGCACGCCTAGCGCGATATGCGTCAGATCGGTGTAGAAGACGCCGAACTGCAGCGTCAATGATTGTTGGAGTTCTTCATCTCGTGATAAGTCAGACCACCTAGAAATATGGCGCTGAGTTCGATCGTCAGCATTTTCTCCGCATTCGTATCCGCACAGAGATCGATGTAAATTTTATTATAACAGGAGATAAGCAATTTCAAAGATAAATGTAACAAGTTTTCAACGCAAAATAGTTATTTAGAACGCCGTTAGAGACGTTTTCATTACAGCTACTGGGCCTTTAATATCCTGTTTGTATTTCTCGTGTTTATGACTGACACCGGAGTTAGTGTTTCATTGCACGCGCGCGTTAAGAATAAAAGAATATTTAAATTAAGGCGCAGTCAGTCGATGCGTTCAGCGTATGCAAAAGGATCGAGAGAGAATTGACGCGTGATCTGTTTTTAACGGAATCGAATCGAATCGGTTCTTTATTGGAAGTTGGAACTCGCTATTTTCTGCCGCCCTTCGTAAAAGTCACTTCCCCTTTCACTCTTAAGTAGTAAGGTAAGTTACATGTAAAATGATTGTTATGCTATACGATTAGAAAACAAAACACGGTTTATATTGTTAATGTGTAATCTAGTTTCTTAGCACGCCTAAACAGCGATAATCAAGTCACGTTCTGTGTTTTGTTCTTAGTTGATTTTGGAATATGTTCACACTGTTTATATTTCTACATGCATATTGCAGAAACAATGCTTCCGAAGAAATGTTTCGTCGTTTTGTTGGTGGCTTTTATGATTTTGACGTGCTTCTCGGAAGCAAGGCGGTCGCGACGGCGACAACACAAGAAGCGCAATTCAATGTGTCCTATTGGGTGTACCTGTGTGAGAAACACAATGACATGCAGAAGTGAATATAAGAGCGGTAAACCCATTGTATCGAAATACACTAACCTGTAAGTGAACTCAGTGTGCTGTAATCAAAGACGACAAAAATAGTGTGCAAGCTTTGGGTGAATTTGAAAAATATGCCTTGTGTAACACATATTGAAAAAATCATGAAAAAAAATCGGGCATTCCTTCAAGTATAAATAAAAAATGACATAAATGTTTTGTGGACTAATTCATATTTAATTTGAGGAATTTTCAACATGACACAACCAAGATTACAATTGTAATATATTTGTCTGCGCAGCGCACTGTTAAGTGCTTGTTTTAGCTCAGACTAGTAATGTAATGTATTACTAGTATGAGGTTTTAGAGAGCAAAATTCATGGATATCGAGGCTTATAATGAAAATATCACAGCCTGATTATAGACGCATGTGCCATCGCACGAGAGGAACATTTCCCTAAAAGCGCTGGTTACGTCTGTGAAATGACGTCCTTGTGAACAGGCCATATTTTCTTTCAAATAATGCCTATCCGATGTTTTTTTTCAGTAAAATTTTTGGCATGTCAACCAGACATGCTGCGCACCTTCTAGAACATGCACCTGATATTAGATCATTGACGTAAGTTAAACATTTTAGTTTTTTTAAACCAATCTCATTCGCATTCGACCTGTGTATGATGTAAGCGAGAGTGACTTCTTTGAACTGTTACATACTACATAAAGTATTCATTATTTTTCATTCAAAGAGATTCTTTACTAATTTAGGCTTGCAGGTGATAATATATACTCACTTCCAGAGGGCTTTTTTGCGTCATCGAATAAGCTGAAATCTCTGTGAGTATACCACTCAACTAACTCACAACATACCAACAGCTCATATCGTATTGAAAACTTATATCCCACTCTTAACCCACTCACAACTCATATCCCACCTACTACTCATACCGCACTCGAATCTTTTGTTGTAGCACTACAACTACGTCCACAATGCATTCGTTCCTTTTTTTTAAATTAAAAATGCAACATGTTTTTTGACACTGTATGTTGATCAATACATTGGACTGTGATTTTTCATGACATGCAACACTGTTCTTGTAGCACACATTTTGTTTGTTCGATGAAACAATAACATTCTCTGCACTACACATGTATTAGTGGTTTTGATTTTTCATCTAACGATTACTTTTGTTTGTCATGATGCAACAATTTTGAATTTATAATAAATCATAATCTGATTTGGTATCGAACAACAATGTTAAATTAATATATATCATCTTTAAATGACCTTGACGGGTATCCCAATCACATTTATGGCTGCCTGACATGATTAGCGCATGCGTGGTGATAAAAGACGTTTCTTCATACGTTATAATTTCATGGCATGTTAGCTTCTTCTAGGCCATGAGTCACACTATGTGCCCTGCGTATGTACAATATGGTCAAAAACAAGCAATTCGAAATGTATAAATAATAATAATATAAATAGTAATAAATAAACATAATAAACAAATAATTATCATTGATTTATTGAATATAACACAACATATTATATTTGATATAACAGAGATATCCAAGTCATGAATGATGGTAGATTACCCCAAAACTTCCTGGAAGCAGTGAAGAGAATACCCAGTCTTTCTAAACTGTGAGTACATCAATTGTTTGATTTGAATCACAACAGTCGCTACACGGAGCGCTTTGAAATTGTAAATTGTGCACGCTTTTTATACGTGGCATGCATGGAACACGATGCGAAACGACGTATGTGGCGCTTTAACTAAGTTTTTCTTTGTTTAAATAAATATTTAGTTGTGTCTTTGTCTTTAATTTTCTGCATATACAAATTGGTAAATGTTTATACTATAAAGAAAAATATTTTGACGTCTATCTTAATAGGACAATCAACTCCAACAAGATCCCATGCAACTGCGATCTTTTGAACTACGTAACAGAACGCGGAATCGAGCTCATTGGACCCAATTTTGCACCTGTCGAAGACTGTAGCGACTTTCCCATGCTTACATACGACTTTAGTCAATTTGTGACACTTTGTGGTAAGTAATAATAACGAATTACAACCTGTTTATGAGATCATACCAACAGTTATAGACTAGATACCGTCTGTGATCGTAAATCAACGAATAATTGACTAGTTTAGGAATCGGTCTGGAGTGTTGTAGCACAGGGGTGTTGTAGGCTGGCCTTACGTAGGGACAGTCTGCGTATGTGAGCTCCCATGGTTGTGTACTGATGTCAAAGTGACATCTAATCAGTGGTGACACAGAACTCTGTGCCGACGTAGTTAAATATCGATTAAACAGATCATTCTTGAGTGTACTCGGAACCTAGCTTCGTTAAACTCCCTTCTAAATTAATTCAAATTACGTTTTTTTTATTATAAGATCTAAGTTACTTGTAGGTCGCCTCTAGAGTTACGTGTTCCAGGGAAGAGCTCGTTTTCCTGCTCCTGTAAAACTTCAATGTGAATATGAATAAACCATCATGCGTTATGCGTGAAAAAAAGTCTAAACAAATGCCATAGCGAGGGGAAGGGGAGTTGCATGACACGATTGATTGAAATAATCGCATAATGAGCGGATAATCACTTACTCACTTTTATCATGCCGCGGCCATTGCCGACTGTTTGCGATCCAAGCCTCGCTTTCAAACTGATGGAATGTATCGTCAAATTAGTCAGCAATAATCGTGGTACGAAAAAAGAAAATTGGTGACATTTAGTAAACTACCATTTACCATTTTGGTTTCCTACTACAAATTGATAAAGTAACATGCAACATTAACAAAATCAGTTGATTCCTTTATTTTTCTGACTGTTCTGTGTACAATATGCTTACGTATTGTTTTCGATATTTTATGTAATATCTTGATAAAACATTAGGATATTATTTATCACAAAATTTTTTTGGTTAAGTGAAGTAATAAACAATTAGTGAGCGTTCTCAAAAAGTTTCATCCACATTGCCTCGTTAAAAAGTAAAATTTGCCAATAATAAGTCCGTTTTTTCAGATGAACTAAGAACAGGAGCTCGTGTACCACAGTTTACCCAAACAGAATCATCTATGCCAGAGAGCATGAGTGAGTCATTGGGATTATCTGGAGATATTGCCCAACCTGCTCAACCCAAAATGCATTTGCCACCTGTTTCACCGGAAGATGCGGGTGGAAACGGCTTAAATGGAGCAACATTTCATCAGTTCCCCGCTCCAACTGTACAAGTACCAATCCCAGTGGAGGAAGTTGCCCAGTTTCATTCAATATATCCCGCCGACGCAGCCCAAAACGTTGCCGAGCCAATTCCCGAAGAAGCAGAGCCAGTTGGAGAAGGTGCTGTTCATGAAGCTGTTGTATCTAAGCCAGTAGTTGCAGAAACACTCACAGAAGTTGACAAGACAATTTCAGAAGTTTCCGAACCAGTTCAAGAAACAGCCGAATCCATGCCAAACGTTGACGGAAGAAATACTGAAGTTTCCGATCAAGTTACTAATCTTGGGAAATCCTATGAAGCGGAGGAAGCAGTGGCAGAGCCCATGGCTGCCGAACCGAAAGATGTGGACGTTGTGAATAAAATCAGAACACCTATAGGAGATGACCAGTTCCATTCAATATATCCCGCCGACGCAGCCCAAAACGTTGCCGAGTCAATTCCCGAAGAAGCAGAGCCAGTTGGAGAAGGTGCTGTTCATGAAGCTGTTGTATCTAAGCCAGTAGTTGCAGAAACACTCACAGAAGTTGACAAGACAATTTCAGAAGTTTCCGAACCAGTTCAAGAAACAGCAGAATCCATGCCAAACGTTGACGGAAGAAATACTGAAGTTTCCGATCAAGTTACTAATCTTGGGGAATCCTATGAAGCGGAGGAAGCAGTAGCAGAGCCCATGGCTGCCGAACCGAAAGATGTGGACGTTGTGAATAAAATCAGAACACCTATAAGAGATGTTACTTTAGAAAAAGAGATAAAAGGAGGTGAGATTCATCTTCATTTAAATTTAGGAATTCATGGTTGATTTAACCATGATACCTATTATTTGTTTTAACCCACAAGTTAATAATAGAAGTCAAATTTTTTTTTTCATTTTCTTCCATAGTTCTTGAGAATCTGCAGGCGGCATCAGATGGTAAGGTGGCCATAACCCTTGACATCAATGACCCATATGAACTCGGATTGCTCCTGCGTTACCTCCGAAAGCGATCTGAGCTTTTACAGAATATTGGCAATGATGACGTCAAAGAACAAGTGTTAAAGGCTTTGGACGATAACAACAAAACCAAATAGATAAAAAAAGACATTTCAATATATATTTATGAGAAACAGCATACAATGACATAATAGAGATTAGAGTCGCTGGAATTAGTTTCTGGTTCATCATTCTCATATAATGAGCTAGATCAGTTTCTGGGAATTCTCTGACCTTTTGCAAACACATTTTTCATTATTAAATTCTGAAATACGTTATTAATTACCGGTATTAACCATTTGTCTCGCCTTTTTCTACCTCTTCGTTACCATAGAAACATAATTAACCCTCTATTTCTCTTAACTACTTAAAAAGGTCCTAGTTCAAATTTATTACACGGATATTCCGTGTTATCGCGTGTTTGTTGAGACACTGTTAAAATTAACCACATTGTTTTAACGTGATTATGCTAATTTTTTAGGAATAGTACTGAAGTGAAATATCGACGTCCCTCTCTACGTTCTCCATAACTTTCGTAACTTGCTATGATCACTTTATATAATATACCTAGCATAAATATTTATTTTGAGAAATCACTGTCTGTGAACATGCAGCAGTTTGATATAGACTATTTTTGAACGTGGAACTCATCCCTGCAAAAAACTATTGGTGCCAAACTAGTTGAATTGTTTTGTAATAAAATCAATTTAAGGGTCTATATATTTCTATGTAATGTTTTTTTAGTTTTCCTTCAAGATTATTCTATAAAAAAATGCTGAAATGATTTCATCTATTTGTAAAATGGTCTTCATTGCTTCGACGATAGGCTACGATGGCGGAACTCCGTACAGTTCGATACGCGCTTCTTATCACTGCCCCGGGGAGATTGGCACGAGAGGGCGCCATCCGATCTGAATGGAACGTTTCGACGCCAGTCGTCCGTAGCCCATTGTCAAAGCAACAACGTCCCGTTTACGAACAGATGAAATAATTTAAGCAATTTCTTTACAGAATAATCCTCAACAAAACTTAGAAACATTTCATAGACAAAAACAGGCTCCAAAATTATCTCTATTGCAAAACAATTCAACCGACAACCAGTTTGACACCATAATTTCTTGCTGGAGCCCGAGTTCTACGCGTGATTTTATTGCGTTCAAATCTGTTCTTAATATTCTTGTGACTTGGCACGCCATGACACTTGAGGCGGGAACCAGCCAACTCCCGCGATCGCTCCCGCATATCGAACCGTTCGAAGTTCGGCGTCATGCATTTCGAATTGTTCTATTAGTTTGTTGTTGTGCGTTCCAAGTTCAAACGTTCATTCGTTTTTTCTGTTGTGTTTGTGCAGTTGCTGCTCATTTTGTTTCACCAAAAAGTAAGTTTTTGATCGTTTTACATACAAATGATTGTTTCTATATTTTTCTGAGCTGCAACTATATATTCATATATTCATGCTTTCACTAACTTGAAAGAATGCTTTGAGTTTTAATATGTACACAGAACGAGGACATATTTCACCAACGTATGAGGATGCCATTTCTTGTTTAATCAATAATGCATGCTGTAAATATAAATTTAGAACTTCGTTTTTTTCGATCGTTGATTTGATTTTAAAATTGAATTAGTACATTAGATTACGAATATTAACAAACTGTTACTGTTGGTGACAAGTGTACATCGGCGTAATGAACTCGTTTTCATGCCTGAATTTATCACGTACCGGCACTGCTACTTAAAAAAATACACATTTATCTTATATTGCAGGAATCATGTCTCTTGTGAGAAAATTAAGCTTGATGTGTTTAGTTGTTGTTATTTTATCGTGCGTAACGGAAGCAAGAAGACGCGACGGTACTCCCAAATGGGCTGCCCAATGCCCATCAACATGCCTCTGTAAAAGAGGCTTCGCAGGCTGTTCAAGTAAATACATTGATAAGGCAGACATTGCGCCCATGTATAGGAAGCTGTACGTAAATACATAACTAACATGTTTTTTTTAGAACATCCCCGCAATGGGTTCTCTGTTCTTCAAAAACCCATCCATTCACATTCATTTCGTGTCGACGTCGCATTTTTTTATGTTCACGCTATTCGCTAACTCTGGTTCATAGTAACCGCAGACAGTTTTGTTGTTGTTATTCTTTCGTGTGTTTTTTTATTATTCTTCATACCTTATATCTCATTATGTATTTTACCATACATTGCAGTGCTATCAGCTACACGCATGCCAAGACAGCCAAGACAATTATCGAACACGCCCCCAACGTGAAGGAATTGAAGTAAGTCACTCGGTAATCCGCCAGAAATCAAATGTGCGTCCGTTGTTTAAAATAACTTTTCCACGTCGCGTGCCAGGAGAAACAACGTTAAAATAAACTCATGCCTGAATTTTAATCGGATTATATCTTTTTTAATGCTAGATTATCAGACCACAAAAGAACGATGATCACTTCCATCCCAACTAATTTCTTTGCTCCCCTGGACAGCCTGGTCACCCTGTAAGTAGCCTTGTCGCTGTATTCCATTTTTTTTTTATCCCACCCTCACATTCTCATACTAGCTCACTCATCTTACCACCGTCAATGTCACATTTCATAAATACAGTCATACAATGTACAACGACCTAAAATCATGATGAATATAAGAATATCGACTAACGAGAAACAAATTATTTATATTTTGCGGTGTGAAACGTCCCATCAAGCAAAATACAAAAAGCAAATACACACTATAAGTTA